GACCTTCTTCATTGCCCCAGTCACTTCCTTGTTTCCGAGGCTGTAGATGACAGGGTTGAGCTCACTTATAAGTAGAAGCTAACCTTTGAGTACATATGGACGCAAAGAAGGGAACAGGAGTGTGGTGGCTGGGAGGTGTAAGCAGCATCTCAACTAGCAGAACATCTCCAGAATGGGAAGCAGGAAGGTGCAGGAGTAGAGTATTAAGGAGGAGAGTGAAATGAGGCCAAGAATGTCGGACTTTGCAGGACTTTGAAGACAACAAAAAAGTTTGTTTTATCCGAAGAACTATTCAATAACAAATAGTTATTCAATATTTAATAAATGTCTACTATGTGCCAAGTGCAAGGACAAAAACACCTGCCCTCATGGAGCTTAATTTGTGGTAGGAGAAGACACATAGTAAGCAATGTAAGTTATTAAAATATATTATGTTAGATGGCGATATGTGTTAACAGCAATTAATATGTGTAATGAGAACTGCTAAGGGGATTGCAGGGGACTTTCGGGAGTGGGGTTGCTATATGTAGTTAGATTTGTGTTTAGAGATCCCTTTGGCTACATCTTGGAAAATAAGTTGTGAATGTATATGTGGGGGTGGGGCAAGAAAGGGGACAGGGAGGTCTGTTTGAAAACTCCTGCATCGTCCAGGTGAGAATAATTTAGGTATTTTTGGACCACAGTAGTGGTGGCAGTGGTGACCCAGAGGCCATCTTGTGGAGAGGTGAGGCAGGAACTGGTGAGGGACTGGATATGGGTGGTGACAAAGACTCATTGTTCTCGTGTGACAACACTCAGTTACCAGCCCTGGAAGAAGCTCAGGCTTCAGGGTGAGGTCATGACTTTGTTTCCTGACATGGTGAATTTGAGGTGCCTTTGAAACATCCAGTGGGAGTACTGAGGTGGCCATATTAGGTTCACTGCAAATGCCCAGCAAGGCAAGTGGCTGTGATTTACTCCATGGTTTCAGAAGCTTCCTTTTATATTTGCTTCACATTCTCATTT